TTAATCTCACTTGAAAGCCTAAATTTCGAAATCCGATATTGTTGAACTACAGTCATGATTTAGTTCTCATATATATATATATATATATATATATAAATGATGCAGGGAAGAACTGTTATACGTGGCTTGGGCCGAGACCGAGGGTGGTAATATCGGAGATGGAGCTTGTGAGAGATATTTTTAATAAGTTCAACGATTTCCAGAAGCCAAGTACAAATCCCCTAGTTAGGCTGCTCCTAGTTGGACTCGTAAGCAAAGAGGGGAAAACATGGGCTAAGCACAGAAGGATTATTAACCCAGCATTCAATCTTGACCGATTGAAGGTTTGTTTTTCTTTTTCTCTTTATTTTTGTTTTGTTTTCATTTTATCTATTCCATATTAAGTTATATGATAAGCCACTTATAATCTCTTGATTTCTTTCGATCCGTCCCAAATTTAAATCTAAAATTCGTAATTTGAAAATCTCTTGCATGCTTAATTATTTTGTGATGTGGTATGCGATTAATCTCTTTTCTTGTTTGTAGTAGGAATAGTGATAATAACAACAATAATAATGAAAATAATATTTCCTTTGATTTAATTTGTTTTTTTTTTGTTTTAAAATAACTATTTTTTTAATTTTAAATTTGTTTTAAATTAATTATTATTGTTTTATTTTTTAAGATAATTAAATACTATTTTTTTCTTACTTTAACACTATCATTATTCATTCACTTTAATTAATTATTCAATTACAAAAAAATTACTCTTTATCTTTTATTTTTTTTAAAGACATTATAGATAAATACAATTATTGTCGTCGAATTTCTTATTTGGGAAAAAGTTAAAAAAAACCACAATTATTTTGAGATAAGTTATCAAATTTTCTAAATAGGATTAGTCCATAATTTTGAAAACTAGACAGGATCGGTCAATCAGACCATTTCAACCAATACCTGATTGTATAAACAATTCAAGTACACTTTTAAAGTTGTTTGAGCCATTAAACCGTTTGAAATAGTTGAAACTGCTCAAACTAATATAAACTAGTAAATCAATTGACCGGATATTTAATACTTAGACATAAATTCTTTAGAAATTTGTTTCCCATGGGGTTTAAACTTCCAACCTTAAGGCTCTTACTCCAATCCTTTGCCACCAAAATAATGCGATCCTTTTATCATAGGATGTCTGAAATTTTATTATCTCATAAATCTCTCAAAAATTTTAATCGAATTGTAAACAGAAACCTTGAGAATCAAACTTTCATCCTCCATGTCACACAACAAAAATTCTTCCACTTGATGCGCAACCTTTTATTTACAACTTTATACTTTATAATATGCTTATTTTATTTTTAAAAGCACTATTATACTAAAGTTTGTTCTCATAGGGACTCGAACTTGTGATCTCTTTAAAGAAAAATTAGTTTCCTACCACTACAATCAATTGGCACTTCCTTTTTGGCATAATAATATATTTATAATAGTTTAATCAATCTAGTGGTTTTAACGATTAAACTAGTTAAATCAATCAAACCGAGAACCGAAGATCAAAATGATTTAACCTCTAGTTTGGTTTTAAAACATTGGATTAGTTTGATTTAGTTGTTTCACTTTTCATTTTAATAAGATATTAAATATTAATATTTCAATTTTACTCATTTTTCAAAGGACAATAATTGGTGCACACCCGGATCCAACACCCGGGTGTGCACCCCCCACATATAAAAAAAAAAGTTGGACTGGGTGATGGGCATTTTTTTTTTTTGTTTATATGATGTGTGCACACCTGGGTGTTGGATCCGGGTGTGCACGCATCATTTTCCTTTTTCAAAAGAGATAGAAAATGTGTTAGGATTTTGTTTATTAAGATTTTTTTTTGTTTAATTATAGAAAGATAAATTTGAATTGTTGTAATTAATAAAATTTTTGGTAATTGTAAGTAAATAAATAAAGAGAGATAATTAAATCAAATTGAATAGAGTAACAAATAGATTACAAAAAGAGCATGTGGAAAGGGATCAATATTCTTATTTCATATTACTAATGTTAATTAATTATTAATACTTTCTCTATCATAAAATAACTATTATCTTTTGACTTTTTTTGCAAATTAAGAATTTTAAAATAATTTATGTATTTATCTATATTACTTTTAAAGAAGCAATAATATAAAAAGAGAATTTTTTTTGATAGGATAATATTCCCTTTGTTCATATTTGGTAGTTCTAGTTTGATTTTTTTTTTTGAAATTTTATAAATGAATTTTAGATAAAAATTTAACAATTTATATAACTATTGAAATTTTTTTACCAATATATAATTTTTGTTAAGTATTTTTATATGATAAAAAATTAATTAT